TGTGTACTAGAGGAGGACTGAAGCTGTGGATATTGAAAGTTTCCACAGGAAGATGACCTTGAAGGTTTATGGGATGCTGGCAGATGGAGGGAGAGTGAGTACACACTGCTGGGGAGTGGTAGGGAGCACATGGAGTGCGCAGGCAAGGGTGGAAGTCTGCAGCCTGGAATGCTTAGACTGTGAGTCTTTGGCTTAAATTTGATAGGCAGGACTAGGAAGGGAGATGGAGGTGTGTGGTAGTAAAGCTCTGATGTTAATCTGGAATTAGAGTTTGGAGGGGTCTGGGCTGGGACTCGAGGTAGGGCAGGTTTAGTTGGGGCAGAGAGCTCCCAACTCTTGTGATTGCTTTTATGGTCTTTCCCTGATACCCACAGGCAACAGGACCTGTATCGAATCCTTAAGGCCTACACTATCTACCGGCCTGATGAGGGCTACTGCCAGGCCCAGGCCCCAGTGGCTGCAGTGCTGCTCATGCACATGCCTGCTGAGGTCAGCATACTCTCCTGGCTGGGAAGGGGATGGAAGGATCTTGGCCAACAGTGGTGATGGGGGAGCTCTCTGCTCTGTTTCTCAGGCCCCATACCTCCCTCTGTCCCCCTTGTTCTTGCCCTTCTCAGCAAGCCTTTTGGTGCCTGGTGCAGATCTGTGACAAGTACCTCCCTGGTTACTACAGTGCTGGGCTGGTAAGTGTCTGGAGGCTTGGTACAATAGGGCTGTGGCTTTTCCCCAAGGCTGCAGGAAGGTCCTTATCCTGCCCCACCCTCTGCCCTTCTATCCCTCTGCTCTGGGCCTCACTCACTGAGGTGAGGATCCCCTGCTTGATCTAGTTCTACCCCAAGGGGGCCACAGCAGGCCTCTTCTCAAGGCTCATCTCACCTCTAGGAGGCCATTCAGCTGGACGGAGAAATCTTTTTCGCGCTGTTGCGCCGGGCCTCCCCACTGGCACACCGACACCTGCGGCGACAGCGCATTGACCCCGTGCTCTACATGACAGAATGGTTCATGTGCATCTTTGCTCGCACTCTGCCCTGGGCTTCAGTACTGCGTGTTTGGGATATGTTCTTCTGTGAAGGTACATTTGTAGCCATTCAATCCATGAAGGGGCTAGGGTTTTCATGGTGCCTGCTAGGTGGTAGTCCACTGATAGAAGGTGCTTGTTGGGTCTAGGGGCTGGAAACAGGCCTGGTCTTGGCTTTACCACCAACCCAGAGCCCGCTGTCCCTCCCAGGAACCTGAAACCTATGGCAGTTCATTTCCCTTCTTGGGGCCTCAGTTTCCTCATCTATAAGGTTGACAGTAGATAGGGATGGGAGCTGTGAGTCCCTCCTAAATGGGACAGGCTGAAGTCCAAGGCATGATCATCCATGCTGTCTTTTCTCTGACCCTGCAGGTGTTAAGATCATTTTCCGGGTGGCTCTGGTGTTGCTGCGGCACACGCTGGGCTCAGTGGAGAAGCTGCGCTCTTGCCAGGGCATGTATGAAACAATGGAGCAGCTGCGCAACCTGCCCCAACAGTGCATGCAGGAGGACTTCCTGGTGCATGAGGTAGGCCTTGACCTTGGCAAACCTCACACCTACTTCAGGCTATCCCCATTTCATCTGCATTCTGGTACCCATTTCTTCTCCTCCTAGGTGACTAACCTCCCAGTGACAGAAGCACTGATTGAGCGAGAGAACACAGCCCAGCTCAAGAAGTGGCGGGAAACCCGAGGGGAGCTACAGTATCGGCCCTCACGGCGACTACATGGCTCCAGGGCCATCCATGAGGAGCGTCGGAGGCAGCAGCCACCCCTGGGTCCCTCCTCTAGCCTCCTCAGCCTTTCTGGCCTCAAGAGCCGAGGCTCCCTGGCAGCTGGTGGGGCCCCCTCTCCACCCCCGCCTTCCCACAGGGCTAATGCTGGGCCTACTCCAGGGCCAGTGGTCACCGCTGAGGGACTGCATCCATCCCTTCCTTCACCTACTGGTAACAGCACCCCACTGGGTCCCAGCAAGGAGACCCGGAGGCAGGAGAAGGAACGGCAGAAACAGGAAAAGGAACGTGAGAAGGAGCGACAGAAACAGGAGAAAGAGCGGGAGAAGAGGGAGAAGGAGCGGCAGAAGTGGGAAAAAGAGCAGGAAAAGGAACAGCAGAAGCAGGAGAAGGAACGGCAGAAGCAAGAGAAGGAGCAACAGAAACAGGAGAAGAAGACCCAAGGCAGGAAGCTTTCGCTGCGTCGAAAGGCAGATGGGCTTCCAGCCCCCCAGGATGGTGGGGACAGGTCCTCATCCTCTGAGACCAGGCAGGATGCTTACTTCTGACCTCTGCCCTGGGGCTGGACTGCATGGCCCCCCTCTCTTTCCCTCAGCCAAGAGCAGACCCCTCAGCAGGCTGTCCGTCTTTCTGAGGAAAGTGGCTTGATTCCCCATCACCTTGCAGCTGCTGACCCCTACACAGCCAGGACAGTCAGAGTGCATAGGGCAGCTGGCATTTCCCTGAGGCAGCTGTTGAACAAGTCTGGAGCCCCTCACCTCCAGCTAGGTCCAGATGGGGTTTCTGTCACTCCTGCCCCAGTTCCCTTTGGGGTCCCTTTCCAGGTGCTGTCCTGATAGGCCTTTTGTCACCATATGGGTGACTCTTGGCGATGGGAGTCAGCAGTTTTCAGATTCTTACACTCCAGTTGCTCCCTTTACCCATGAAGTGGAGCTGGGTTCCTTTTTCTCTTCAGTCCTGCCTGCCTCCCCCACTTCCTGGCTGGGGGCCAAGGTCCTCTTTGCTTGACTTCTGGACATCTCTGTGTTGTAATTATGTATAAAGGACCTGGTCGGCCCAAGGTGGGCGTGTTCACTCTAGCTTCTGTCCTTTGGTTCTCCTTCCACAATTTTCTTGAACTCCAGTTTATTTAAGGGGACAGGCACTGGAACAGGAAATGTCCCCCACTTTCTCACCCACCACCCTCCTGCTCTCCTTCCTATTCACTCATCTTCCTCTGTATTCTCAGGCCTCACCAGGTCCCCTACCTTCCACCTAGTTCCCTTCTAACTCTCTAGCCCCTATCTGGGAAAGGGGTCTTTTCTTGAGCTCCAGGGGGTGGAAACCCAATGTTTACATTCTCTTCTGTATCTGCCCCCACCCCATGTGGCGCTTTGAGGAACCAGAAAAGAACCTGCTATTGTACCTGGGCTTGTCTCCTGCCTTGTTATTTGATGAAGGGGGTTAGAATAAGGACGGGGGAGGGAGGGAGTGCTGAGTGAGCCAGGATCTATTGAAGCAGTTGACTGGTCTTGGCAGGTAGGTACCTCTTGGCCTTTGGTCCATCTCTCAATCATTCATCAACAAACAACGGTTGAGCTCCTGGTCCACCTTTGCCTGGGAATTGGCTGTTTCCATTGTCACTGGCCTCTTGAAGCCCTCCATGTATCACCTGCAGTGTCCAGACCTTTCCAAAGTGCTCACACAACTCCTGGAACCTGGAATGGGGACTGAGGGTGGCTAGAAAGCCACAGTCCTGGGGTGGGGGTGGGGGGACAGGGGTGAGCTGGGCTCTTGGCCGGCTGCCTGGTACAGCTGCAGTTCTGGGCCACGAGGATAGTAGCAGAGCCAGCTGCCTCAGCTCACCCCAGTCCAAGCCCACAGCCAGGTTCCCAGCTCCTGGTTTTCTGCTGCCAGCTTGTGGGCCTGCCCATCTTATGTGCCCTCTACCCTGGGGGTCAGGATGGTAAAGGCATAGGGTTCTGTGGCTGTAAGGCATGACTCCACCTGGCAGTTCTTCAACAGGATGAGGCCCAGGGGTATGCTGTTTGCCTGGTGCTTCTGGTAGAAGAAGAGGTTTCTCTGGAGAGTGAACCAGACACTGATACCTGGTATTTTGGTCCCCTTTAGCAAGATGCCCTCCCAGTCTGGAACCTGTGTTCTGTACCCATGGAATAAACAGCACAAAGTTTCATGGTAGTACAATCTGGAGGAAACATGGAGCAGGAGGGGGGCAGGGGGTCCATCTTGTTGCCCTGGGGACTCACCATGCTGTTCTAGTGTGGTTCCAGTAGGCTCTTCCTGTTCACAGTCTTAGCCTGGTGGGATTCAGACTCTGTACTCAGAAGCTGGAGGTCTTGTCCCGACTGCACAGCACGGAGACCCACTTCCCCACCCCAGCTCTGCCTCTTGGGCCAGATTACAGAACCTGGGCTGGGGCCCTGTTTGCTGAGAGGGGTTTTATTCTGCGGCTGTGGTTGGAGAGAGGCTCTGGCGCCCTTTTCTAGGCCTACCTGAACTCAGCGCACAAGAGGCTCTGCCCTGGGTACTGGGCACAGGTGCCACTGCCATCTCTCCTGTGATGGACTTTCCCACCTCAGAAACCAGGACATCGCCCAGGGGATAGGGGTGGGGTTAATCCTCCCCCGTCCTAAAGGGTGCTGGGTTCGGAAAGTGCCCCACAGCGGTCAGGGACCTCAAGGCGGGCCATCCGGAGAGCCGGGCTTCGGACTAGGAGAGGGCAGACAAATAAATGCTGAGAGTGGAAAAGTAGGATTTCCAATGAGATGGTGAGGAGCGCGGAGCCCTCTGGCCAGCCCTGGGGAAAGGTGACGCAACCCTGGAAAGGGTAACTAGGGCAGGAACCCACTGGCCCTGCTCGGATTTCGTTCTCCACCGTGACCCTGGACACCCCTTAGGTAGAGTGCGCTCCTCTTTCTCCCTAGGGCCTCTACTGTGGGAAGGAACCAAAGCCACTTGGGGCCATCCTCTGTCCGATGAGGGTCCAGAAGTTCACACGTTCCGGCTTCTCGCGGTAGTCGCCCCAAACAACTCACGTCACTTTTGAAGGCGGGGTGTGTCTTTCCAGCTCATCAAGTACTTCCGCCCGCTCTTTCCTCTCACCAGAATGAAGCCACTTCCGGCTTCCCCTGGCGCCCTCCGCAGTTCTCTTCCGGGTGATGGCGGCCCAGTGCCCCGGATGTAGCCCTGGCGAAAGCCGCTCTCCTTTCCTTTCCCAGCCTTTTCTGGGTCCCTAGGTGAGCGTGCGCCGGTGGGACTGCTCGAAGCCCGGGGGCTCTGCCGCTTCTCTAATTTGTACCCATAGTCCGGGACAGCCCGCGGAGTCGGGAGTTCGGCGCAGGGAGGAGCGGGGCGGCCAGGGCGCCAAGTCCTGGGTCCACTCGGGTCTCACGGGAACTGAGGGAGCAGCGGTGGAGGGGCGGGTGTTGGCCGCGGACCCGCGTCGCGCCCAGGACTAAGGGGCTGGGAGTGGCGTGGTCACGTGGGGAAGCAGGTCTCCTTTCGTCTAGAGTGGGGGTGCCTATGGGAAGTCCTTCTTGCGCCCATCTTTTGGACCCTGATCCAGCAACTCATTTGGATGCCAACCCGGTCCCCAGGGCCTCTTGGCTGCCAACTCCCCTTTCGGCCCCTGATTCTGTGCTCCTACCCCTCACAAACTGGATCTAGTACGTACCTGGGGAAATGTTTGTTGAGCTGAGGGCCCTCTCGCTGTGAGTATCCTCGCCCAGTTCCCTTAATCTGCATCCTTCCCCTCAGCTCAGCTTGGGCAAGGCCTCTCTCCAGTCATGCCAAAGAGGAAAGTGACCTTCCAAGGTGTGGGAAATGAGGATGATGAAGATGAAATCAATGTTCCCAAGAAGAAGGTGAGCTGGCCACACTCCCATGTCCTGGGGAAGAGTGAGGAAGAGAGAAAAGGAACTGGAAGCCAGAAGAGGGGAAAAAGCTTTGGGGACAAAGAAAGAGTAGAAAAGGCTAGCTTTTCCATGTTCTCTGAGAAAAGGGTTTGGAGGACTTTCAGTTTGAGTCCAGATCCTGGAGCATTTTTATTTTTATTTATTTATTTTTTTGTACAGATAGAGTGGGAGGGAGAGAGAGGAAGGGAGAGAGAGAGAGAGAGAAACATCGTCGTGAAGGGACACATCGAGTGGCTGCCACCCGCACGACCAACCAAAGCCGGGGACAAACTGCACCTGAAGTACGTGCCCTTAGCGGGAACCGAACCCGGGTCTCTCCGGACCGCAGGCCGACGCTCTAACCGCTGAGCCAAACTGGCCAGGGCCAGATCCTGGAGCATTTTGAGGAATAGAGTGGATGCTAAGAAAAAAAAATTAATTCTTCCCACATTCTAAGTTCTTGCTGGGCCAATAATCAAATTAACAGAGATAGATTAACGGGAAAATCAAATTTTAATACATGCACGTGGGAAATTCACATAAGCATGAAAATTCCAAAAACAGGTGACATTTTGGACAAAGAAGTAAAGGTGGGGAATAGGGTCTTAGGTTTCAGAAGTGAGTATTGGGCAATTTTAGATAATTGAGGAAGAGCTGAACAACTGGCAGGCAAATTCTTGCTAGGCAACTCAAACAATGGGACACTGGGCATCTAGCTAAAAGGCTCCTGCCTGAAGCCCTATTGTTTTTCATACTTAATTCAAATTAGGCTGAGGTGAATATCCTAAGATTTTCCTCCCATAGTAGGTTTTTTTTGTCTGAATCTCTTGGGCAAGAGACAGGGGAGGGTCAAAGGTTCTTTCTGAGTTTTATTTCTTTTTTTTTTTATCCTCACCTGAGGACATTTTTACATTTATCTTCAGATAGAGCAGGAAGGAGAGAGGAGGGAAGAGAGAGAGAAACATTGATGTGAGAGAGACACATCAATTGGTTGCCACCCACAGGGCCCCAACTGGGGCCAGGGATGAACTGCAACCAAGGTATGTGCACATGCCCTTAGTGAGAACCGAACCCGGGTCTCCGGCCAAGGCTAATTTTTATTTCTTAATAAACAGCTTAAAGTCAATATTCCAAACAAGGCAGCTTCAGGGTAGCAAAACTTTGGTTCCTTTCAATAACCAGTAACCTGCATCTATGGACTGTCTGGCTCCTGCTCACAGCTGGTGGACCCTGTGGCTGGGGCAGGAGGTCCTGGGAGCCGCTTCAAAGGCAAACACTCTTTGGACAGTGATGAAGATGATGATGATGAGGGGTCCAGCAAATATGATATCCTGGCCTCAGAGGATGTGGAAGGTGAGCTGGAGGAACAAATGGGCTTCTGGGAATGTGGACAAAAGAGGCTTCTGTCTCTTTTTTGCATGCCTAGCATGGACACCTGTGTCTTTGGTGCAGGTCAGGAAGCAGCCACACTCCCCAGTGAGGGGGGTGTGCGGATCACACCCTTCAATCTACAGGAAGAGATGGAAGAAGGCCACTTTGATGCTGATGGCAATTACTTCCTGAACCAGGATGCCCAGATCCGAGACAGCTGGCTGGACAACATTGACTGGGTGTGGCTCAGGGGCTGGCATGGCTGGGGCCTGGAGGCATCAAGTGCTTGGACCCTATTGGCAGTTTGTAGGAAATAACACCCTTATTTCCACCTTACAGGTGAAGATCAGGGAGCGGCCACCTGGTCAGCGCTCACCGTCAGACTCAGAGGAGGAGGATAACCTGGGCCAGACACCACTGAGTGCCCAAGCCCTCCTGGAGGGTCTTCTGGAGCTCCTGTTGCCAAGAGAGACAGTGGCTGGGGCACTGAGGCGTCTGGGGGCCAGAGGAGGAGGCAAAGGGGGTAGCAAGGGACCGGGGAGGCCCAGTTCCCCCCAGCGCTTGGACCGGCTGTGTGGTTTGGCCGACCAGATGGTGGCTCGGGGCAACCTTGGTGTTTATCAGGAGACAAGAGAACGGTTGGCCATGCAGCTGAAGGGGCTGGGATGCCGGACCCAGGGACCCCCTGACCCCATACCCCAACCTTCTCTGGACATGTTTGCTGAGGAAGTGGCAGAGGGAGAGCTGGAAACCCCAACCCCTGTCCAGAGAGGAGGTGAGATTTAAGGGCAGAGGTGGGATGTTGTGGACGGGGTAGGACACTTGAAGCCCAAATGGCTTTGCTTGTTATTTTAGAAGCAGAATCACCAGGAGATGGCCTGGTGGATGTGATGTGGGAATATAAATGGGAGAACAAAGGTGATGCTGAGCTGTACGGGCCCTTTACCAGCACCCAGATGCAGGTAAGCCCCATTCTGCCTCTTCTCTCCCCTCCCAGCCCTCACCCCATCAGCCCTCCTCCAGTTCTGCCCTCTCTTTCTGCAGACCTGGGTGAATGAAGGCTACTTCCCTGATGGTGTTTATTGCCGGAAACTGGATCCCCCTGGTGGACAGTTCTACAACTCCAAACGTATTGACTTTGACCTCTATACCTGAGCCTTCTGAGGGCCAATTTGGTGGCCCTTTCTTTCCTGGACTCTATGGAGGAGGCCCCAGCTGCTTCAGGCAGTGAGGATATTGGGGGCCACTTTCAGTTAGTTTTCCCTTCCCAGTAAAAGCCTTTAGTTGTGTATTAGGTCCTTGGCTGTGCTGATGGCCAGAAGCCAGGGACCTCCACAACCCCTTTGGATTTGCCTCTGTCCTTGAGTGTTTCCTCATGAAGTTGCTTTTTTGGGAGTTTCTGGTTCCTTGAACCATCTCATCTTTGTTTACCACTCTTAGGGGTACAGCCAGGTTCGGTCAGGTTGCCTCTGGCCTCCCTACCTGGACTCTGCTCACCATTTAAAAAGCCCTTCACTCACATTTCATTCTCCAGTATTGGGAGTTTCTGTTTTGCTGTTCTTAAGTCTTTGGCTTTTACGACCTCAGTCTCTGTTCTTGCAGCCAGTATAGGATTAAGCCTCAGAATTGGAGATTTCAGGTCTTGAAGAGCTGGGACATCTGTTGGATGTGAGCAGGAAACCTGGTAGTCACTGTCTCCCCACTGTCTCAGGCTGTTTACGTGAAGTGTAGACTCAGCATTGGCACTTGAAGGACCCTTCAAAACCACCTGGGGCAACTATCCATTGAACAGGCACTGGGAGGGGCAGTGCCTTGCTGGAGGTTACACAGAAGATCGACCCAATGGACTCCTTTACCTGAAGCTTACACTTGCTAGGCTCCCACGGTGTGCCTGGCACAGGGCTAGTGCCTTGAGAGAACAAATAACTGGCTGGTCCCCTTCCAGGAATTCAGAGTTGGGGGGTGGGGAGGGAGGCAGACAGGTGTAATTCTATAGTCAGACCTGACCTCTCCCCCACCCCCAATTCCATTAGTGCTGCCTTAGGTCTTCTCACTTGCACCAAGTTAGGTTGATTCACCTTAGCTGTCCATTGGAATCTTATGGGGAGCTGTAAAATTACTCCTTAGAGAATCTGAATGAATTGGTCTACTTAGTGGCTTGGAGGTTGGGTCTTTTAAAAGTTTCCAGGTGTTTCCAATGTGTAGCTATGTGGAGAACCACAGGGCCTGACTCCAAGACAGGTTACACCTGGGGAGGGATCAGTTCCTGGACCCTGCTGTGACAGCATAGCTGAGCATGTGTGAGGTCAGGGCTCTGGTGGAGTTTCTTAGTCACAGGAGAGCCAAGCACCAGAGCCTTGGACACCTGGGAGCCCCAGGGTGGAGGGGGCCAGGCCAGGCACTAGGGAAGATGGGGTGGGGATACCTGATATTCTAGTGAGGCCTCCAATTTCTGTGATAATTAGACCCACTCTAGTGCTAAGCCAGGCCTGGTTTTCACTGATTCCAAGATGCCTTTGGCTGTAAGATGGCTGGCTTCCTGTCATTAAGACAGGAAACACTACCAATTACAGTTGTAAGATGTCACCAATTAAAAGGTGCATCCTGATTTCAGAAATGTTCAGAAGTGAAAAGCAGGTGTCTTAGGACCAATGAAATGCAGTGTTCACTTTTATATTCCCAGTGACTAACTCATGGGAGGTGCTTAGTGTTTGGTGACTAGGTGGAAGCCAAGGGGTAGCTCCCCTGGATGTCCCACAGGCACCTTAGCTCCACCCGTTCAGAGCCGCCCTCTCCTTCCCCATACAACCTGTTCTTGTGTTCACCTTCCTGGTGACACCCTGTGTGGGCAGAATAATGCCCCCTCCAATGATGTCCACATCCTCAGCCTCAGAACCTGTGAATATGTGACCTTACTTGGCAAGAGGGACTTTACAGAAATGGTTAATGATTTTGAGATGAGGAGATTATCATGGGTAATTGAGATGGGCCCAATGTAATTACAAGGGTCCTATGAAGTGGGAGGGAGACAGGGTCAAAGTGAAAGGGAAGAAAAGACGTTATACTGCTGCTGCCTTTGAGGATGGGCGGGCCATGTGTCAAGAAATGCAGTGGCCCACAGCAGCTGGAAACAATTCTTTCCGGTCTCCACCAAGAAACACAGTCCTGACAGGATTTAGACCAGTGAAAATAGTTTTGGATTTCTGACTGCTAGACCTCTAAGATAATAAAATGTGTTGTTTTAAGCCAGTGAGTTTGTGGTCATTTGTTATAGTCCCAAAAGGAAACTAACACGCCCATCCAGCTGAATGCCTCTCCCCTCATGAGTATCACTAGTTCTCTCTGGCCATGTCTGTCTTTCAGGCCTCTCAGCATGTCACTCACTTGCTTTTTATTTTAATTTTTTAATCCTCACCTGAGGATATATATTTTTTATTTATTTATCTTCAGACAGAGTAGGAGGGAGAAAGAGGGAAAGAAAGGGACACAGAGAGAGAAACATTGATGTGAAAGGGACATATCGAGTGGCTACCTCCCGCATGACCCCAACCAGGGCCAAGGACGAATAGCAACCAAAGTACGTGCCCTTGGCTGGAATCGAACCGGCGACTCATTGGTCCGCAGGTTGACGCTCTACTGCTAAGCCAAACTGGCTAGGGCCTCACTTGCTTTTTTTTTTTTTTTTTTTTTTTTTATCCTCATCGGAGGACATTTTTCCATTTTTTGTTCAGGTAGAGTGGGAGGGAGAGAGAGGAACAGAGAGAGAGAAACATCAATGTGAAGGGAACACATCGAGTGGCTGCCACCCGCACAACCGACCAGGGCCGGGGACAAACTGCAACTGAGGTACATGCCCTTAGCGGGAACCGAACCCAGGTCTCTCAGGACTGCAGGCCGACGCTCTAACCGCTGAGCCAAACTGGCGAGGGCCTCACTTGCTTTTTTTAAAAAATCTTTTTTTGTTGTTGTTCAGATAGAGTGGGGAGGGAGAGAGAGAAACATCGACGTGAAAGGGACACATCAAGTGGCTGCCACCCACACAACCCAACCAGGGCCAGGGACAAACTGCAATCGAGGTACATGCCCTTAGTGGGAACCGAACCTGGGTCTCTCTGGATCGCAGGCTGATGCTCTACCACTGAGCCAAACCGGCCAGGGCTTCACTTGCTTTTTTTTTTTTAAACTGTAAATTTTTAAATAAGCTTTTAATATTTTACAATAGTTTTGTAGCTTTTCAAACATTTACAAGAGTTCACTCAGTTTCCCCTGTTAACATCGGTCCGGGTACATTTGTTACAACTAACGAACCAGCAACATTACTATTTTTAACAGTTATTGAGCTATCCACCCCTTTAGTGAACAATTCAGTGGTTTTTAGTATATTTGTAGTGTTGTGCAATCATCACTACAGTCTAGTTTTAGAACATGTTTGTCTACCCAAAGAGCAACCCCACCTATTAGTAGTTCCCATCACTCCCCTTCCTCCTTCACCCTCCAGTTTCTGGCAACCAGTAATTTACTTCCTCTCTCTCTAAATTTGCCTATTCTGGACATTGCAAACAAATGGAGTTGTACAATATGTGGTCTTTTGTGTCTTACGTGTCTGCTTCTTGCACTTAACATGTTTTCAAGATTCTAACGTTTAACAGTATTTTATCCTTTTTTCAAAAAATTTTTAATCTTTTTTGGAAAATATGTTTTTATTGATTTTTTTTTTTTTTTTTTTTTTTAGAGAGGAAGGGGGAGAGAGAGAGAAACATGGATGTGAGAAACATTGAATGGCTGCCTCCTGCACACCCCCTACTGGGTGTGGAGCCCACAATCTGGATATGTGCCCTAACCGGGAATCAAACCCAGACTGCTCAGTCCATGGGACGATGTTCAGTCTACTGAGCCACACTGGCCCAGGCTATTTTATTCTTTTTTTTTATCCTCACCTTGAGGACATTTTCCCATTTTTTGTTCAGATAGAGTGGGAGGGAGAGAGAGGAAGAGAGAGAGAGAAACATCGACGTGAAAGGGACACATCAAGTGGCCGCCACCCGCACGACCCAACCAGGGCCAGGGACAAACTGCAATTGAGGCACGTGCCCTTAGTAGAAACCGAACCCTGGTCTCTCTGGACTGCAGGCCAATGCTCTAACCACTGAGAAAACTGGCCAGGGCTATTATTTTTTAATTGTTGAGTAATATTCTATTGTATGGATGTATGCTATATTACTATTAACTAAACTTCACACTTTATTTGGATTTTAATTATAATTTTTTCCTAATGTCCTTTTTCTGTTTCGGAATCCCCTCTAGGATACCACATTGCAGTTAGTGGTCATGCCTCTTTAGCTTCTTCTGGTCTGACAGTTTGTCAGACTTTTTTCACTGACCTTGAGAGTTTGGGGAGTACTGGTTAGGTATTTTGTAATATATTCCTAAAATTTGGGCTTGTCTGGTGTTTTTCTCATGATGAGGTTTGGGTTATGGGGAGAAAGATCCTGGAGGTGGAGACCCTTGTCTTTTTTTTTTTTATCCTCACCCGAGGATATTTTTCCATTTATTTTCAGACAGAATGGGAGAAAAGAGAGAGAGAGAGAGAGAGGAAACATTAATGTGAGAGAGACACATCGACTGGTTGCCTCCCACATGACTCTGACCAGAGCTGGGGACCGAACCGTAACCGAGGTACACGCCCTTGACTGGAATCGAACTCGACACTCTGGTCTCTGGGCTGATGCTCTAACCATTGAGCCAAACAAAGTTCCTTGTCTTTTACTGGAAACCGTTTTTGTTTTTTTTTTTTTTGTGGTATGTGCCCCTAAAGGGACTCTGGCCCGCAGGCTGACGCTCAACCGATGAGCCAAACTGGTCAGGGCTACTGAAGACCTTTACTGGCTCCACATTGTCCTCAGAATAAAGTTCATAATCTTGAAGCTGACGAAGAGGTCTATAATGGCCTGGCTGAAGTCAGCCCCTCCAGTTCCACACCTGCCTTTGTTTCCCTCCTCTCTTCTCTTCCCCCTACTCCAGGCTCCAGCCTGCTCCCAGAACAGAGGAGATAATTTAATTTCTCCAAGCTAGGCCAATGATGTCTTTCTCTTTTCTGACTATCTGGGAAAAACCAATTAATATACCTGTTGTGACTTAGTTCTAGACCTCCTTTTCCTAAAGGCCTTCGAATGCCTACTCCCCACTTCCCAGGTGACTCATTATTTCTTCCACTGTGCCCAGCAGCACAGATGTCTGACATAACACCTAGAGCAGTTTCTCCTGGTCTGTCTCCACCAGTTAGCCTGAGAC